TGAGATCCCCTTTGTAGACCTGTCATCTCTCCTCCCCCCAGCACTGGGAGCCCCTGTGTGGATCTGTCATCTCCCCAAGCACCACAGACCCCTGGGAGGAGCTGTTTCCCACCTCCTCCAGCTCTGGGGACTCCTCCATTGGTTTCTGCTCCAAAGGAAGAGCACCCTGGCGTGGGTCTGAAAGCTGGCACCCTGCCCGCTCCTACCAAATGAGCCTGGTCCAGGGCTTCCTTCCTGTAGTCCAGCTCCTCTTCCAGGTAGCCCTTCTGTCGGCTGAACAGGTCCTGCAAAGAAGAGGCTGTAACAGTGTGGTCTTCAGGGTCAGCACACCCATCCTGGCAGAGCGCACTCACCCACCAGGGGCCCAGGTGAGTGGGAACCTGGGGTCTCCTGCTACTGCTTGTGGTCCCCAAACAGGAGCCACTCAGCCGGGAGCTGCCTCCCTGACCATGCCTGGCTGCTCACAGGGCTGACTGTCCGTGAGACCTGAGTGCCCACGGGCCTGGCTGTGCACAGGGCATGACTGTCCACAGGGTCTGACTGTTCATGGGGCCTAACTGTCCACAAGAGCTACCTGTCCATGGGATCTGACTGTCCACAAGGCCTGGCTGTCCATGGGGTCTGTCTGTACATGAGACATAGATATGAGGCTGGCATCCTCCTCTTCGGTGGATGACCACAGTGACCTTGATGTCCAAGACAATTTCACAGACACCCTCTGGATTCCTCTCACTTTGTCAAACTCTGAACTCAGCTTCAGTCATGTCTACATTCAGTATGAAATATCTCCGCCCCTGTCAGTCCTCAGTCACCTCCTGACGCCACTGGGTCATCTCCTGATTATCTCCCCTCTTGATGTCCCTGGACACCCCCTGATGACCCCGTGCCATTTCCTGATGCCCTCACATCATCTCCAGATCAGTTCACCTCCTGACACCCTCGAGTCACCTCCCAATACCCCTGGGTCACCTTCCGATGCTCCAAAGTCACCTTCTGATGTCCCCAGGTCACCTCTTAACACGCCCCCAAGTCACCTCGCAATGTTCCTGGTCATCTGATGCTGTCATGCCATCTCCTGGTTATCTTCATTCCTGACACCCCTGGTCACCTACTAACACTCCTGGGTCACATCTTGAAACCCCAGGTCATCTCTTTTTGATACCCCTGATCACGCCCCAATACCTCCAGATAATCTCCTAAGACTTCCCGATTATCTCCCCTCCTGACACTCTGAGGTCACTCCCTGACACCCCACATCACCTCCAGATGCCACAAGGTCACCCTTGACATCCTCAGTTACCTCTGACACCCTCAGATAATTTCCAAGCACCCTCTGATTATCTCCCCTTCTGACACCCCCTGATCACCTTCTGATGATCATCTCCTGAGACCCCCCAGATCACTCCCTGGCACCACAGGTTACCCCCTGCCACTGCCACATCATCTCCTGACACCTCAGATCACCCCTTAACACCCTTGGTTATCCTGTGATACCCCAGATTACTCCTGACACTGCCATGTCACCCCTTGACATCCCCAGATCTCTCCCTGACACCCAAGGTCACCCTCTGACCCCAGGTCACTCCTGACACTACCATGTCACCTCCTTATGCCCCAGGTCACACCTTGACATCCCCAGATCACCTCCTGACCCTAGGTCACTCCTGATGGTACCATGTCACCTCCTGACACCTCAGGTCACCCCTGTCATGCCCACATCCGGGGGGTCCTGTAAGCATGATTGTTCTGAAGTGGATCTCTTTCACTGGAGGAGACAGAGGGCTTGGGAGGACCAGTCCTTGCTGCTGTCTCTGGGGGCTGACAGGAGGGTTGCGACAGGCTGCTGGCTCTAGCTCTCACTGCTTCTGGACCTCACACAGATCCCGCTGCCCAGAAAATCCGTCCTCCCTCACCTCCCACTTTTACTGGGAGCCTTGTGATGGGCTGTGACGTCTCCAGAACCTTCTCCCCTGGGCAGCTTCCTTGATGCCCTGGGTAGGTAAGCACCCTCTGCTCAGTCTGAGAGTGAGTGACCCACTGCCAGTACCAGGTATGTCCAGCCCGTGCCCAGAGGGTCTAGTCTCGCCTCTGCCCCTCCATCATCTGCCTGCACTGGTGGGTTCGGCTTCCACCTCTCAGACCCTTGCCCCCAGTGTGGAGCTGCCTGTGGTGGGAATCGTGCCCATGTGCTCCTGAAGCATGGTCCTGGCTGCTGACCACTGAGCAGAACTTCACAAGGACAGTCACTTGGAGCGGCCCAGGGCAGAGACTAACAGAGAGCCCTGCACAGAGAGGAGGCGGCTGACTTCCTAGCTGGGTCTCTGGCTGCTCCATCAGGGATTCATTCCTCGTCCACCCAAGAAACTACGATCCCACCCCACCCAGAAGAGACTTTGGGACCCTCTCCCACCTCAGAGGCGACCTCATGACCCCACTCTTATCCCAGCAGGGTCTTTGTACCCTCCCTCCTCTTTGAAAGGATGTTCTGACCCTTACCTCATCTCAGAAGGTATTCTTATGACATTCTCCCACCCCAGAAGGGACCTTCTCATTCTCCCCACCTCAAAAGGGACATTCTGACCCCCACCCTATTCCAGAAAGGACCTTCGGATCCCACCTCACCTCAGAAGGGACCCTCTGACACCCACCCCCGCCCCAGAAGGGACCCTCTGACCCCATCCCATCTCAAGAGGGACCCTCCAATCCTACCTCACCTCAGTAGGAGGCTTCTACCCTCATCCCATAAGGGCCCTTCTGACATCCCCCACCACCACCCCAGAAAGGGACCTCCTGATCCTTCCCCACCTCGGAAGGGCCGTTCGGAGCCCCTTCTGCCCGGAAAGGATCCTCGTCCCACCCCACCCCTGTGTTCTGTCTAGGAAGGGATTCCAGGCCCCTCCCACAAGGCCTCACCTTCTCCTTCTCCAGGTCCACCATCCTCTGGGCCAGGGCAGCTTCTGTGCCTTCCATCTGCTTCAACCACTGGAACACAGTGTGCAGGTGCAGAGGGTGAGGCTGGTGCCTGGAGGGGCGGCAGGTGGGCTGTGACGCACGTCAGCATTGCACAGGTGGGTGGTGATGTCATCAGGAGGCCCGGGTGTGAGGCGTGTGAGGCACCGAGGGTGTGGATGTGAGCCTCTGAGAGCCCAAGTGAGGGGCAGACCTGCGCTGAGTCCTTGTCCTCCCACCCACATGGGCAAGCCAGCATAGCCACACCACACATCATGAAGAAGCCTGAGTGCCCAGCACCTCCAAAACCACCACCTGCCCCGGCTCATGGCTCGAGAACCTGCCCTTGGACAGCCCAGGCCAACAGCCAGCAGAGAGGATCCCAGAGCTGCAGGCAGGTCTGTATACACCACACACACGGAATCTGAGTGAGGACGTGAGAGCACATTCCGGACTGCAGAGGGGCTGCAAGGCTGTGGAGGCAGGTACAGGAGACAGTGTGCACCTGGAGGGGCCAGGACAGGTGGCATGCATCTGCAGGGCAGGCAGGTGGCATGCACACCTGTAGGTACAGGTACAAGTGTGGTGCACACCTGTTGTGGAGCTAGTCTAGGAAAGGCAGGCACCTGTGAGGGACGGGTAAGGGTAGGTACATGTCTGCAGAACATGAACAGGTTGGATTCATACCCGTGTTTCTGCAGGGCAGATACAAGTTGGGTGCACACATACCTACAGGGGGAACAAGTCTGGGAGGTCCATGCATTTGTGAGGAGTAAGTGAGGGTGAGTGTGCATCTTCAAGGGGTAGATAAAGGTGGGAGTTCATCTGTGAGGTGAACAAATCTGGAAAATGTCCACAGCAATAAGGCTGATACAGGTGAGATGCACACCTACAGCGTCAGGTGTGGTGGCGAAGGCTCATCCTTGCTGTGAGTGTGGGACAGAGGGTCAGTGCATGGTGATGGGCAGGTCTCTGAAGGGCAGGTGTGTCGGTGTGTCTTCACACCTACATATCTGGACACGCATATCTGGAGGGAAAATCCATGGACTAGGCCACTAGCTCCTATGTCTGCCAGCTCAGATCATGTCAGAATGATTGTCAGTCTGCTTCCTGCTAAATCCACAGACACATCCCAGCCTGCACCCTGACCTCAGTGGGCTGACCTGCTGACCTGGCCTTCCCTGTCCTCCTGCTTCCCTGCCTCAGCCTCATCTGTCCTCCCATCTGCAGTTTCCAGGCTCTGTGATACCTCTCTGCTCCTCTCCTGGACCTCCACCCCTGTAGGACTCTACTGAGTGCCCTCGTAACTCCTCCCTCCGTCCCCGCCAAGGCCTTCTGCCTTCCGCCTGGTGAGTTCTCTCACTAACACTGCTTTCACCCTAGCCCCATCCGCACTCTCCTCTCCAAGGATACCTCCTGTCCAGAGGGCCAGGCCCCTGCACTCACCCTCCCCTTGAGCTCCGGCTGGTGATGGACCCCACACTGTATTCCACAGGACCTGCAACCAGGCCGCACCAGAGCTGCCCTTCTGCCCAAGCCCAGGCCCACTGGAGCCAAGTGCTCGGATGCAGGCCCTCTCCGGGAGGCTGACCTCTGCGCCCATGGGCCAGTGGCTTCTGGAGTCTCTGTCCCCTGGGTCAACCACAGGGCATTCACCGGCGGGTCAGGGGTACACGGCCCACGAAAGGCATGCCCAAGGCGGGTAAGGAGGAATCAGGCACCTGCCCTGCCCCCTTGGTCTTTCTGGGGAGACCTGTGAATGGTGAGGGGGCCCTAGTGGCAGTGAATATGGAGTTTAGCTGTTGACCCAAAGGCCACACCTTTCTCTGGTATGAGTGCACCAGAGGGTCTGCAGAAGAAAGACGGGCGGTCCCCTTCTGTGTGATTTACAGCCTGAAAGGCGCCAAGGGCAGCTGCAGTTGTGTCCAAACTGAAAACAAAGCATTTTAGCCTTCTGCGTAGGGTGCAGGCTGCCTCCCATCTGGCAGCTCAGGGCATCTCTGAGCCTCCCTGTCCTCTCTTGGGATTCCTTGAGACCAAATTCTCTGTTTGGGGGTGCCTTGTGTCCAATGACGCTGCCTAAAAGAGGGAGGACATTCATTTAAGGCTGGAACATTGCATGGCATCTCAGCCTGAGAAACGATAGAGACGAATGATCAACTCCCTGCACGGTTCAGGCCTCAGGCTCTGCCTGGTGGGGCTCTTGGAAAAGCCACACGTGAGCTGGTCTGAGTGACAACTGGAGGATAGCGATGTGGCTGATGGAACCCGACAGGACGGTGAGATTTTGTGTTCTGCTATGTGAGGGTACAAAGTTCACCTACACTTCTCCAGATGCTGCCACACAAGGATAACTTTCAATAAATGTGGTAAAGTGTTTCTAGTTGAGACTGAAGCCTCAGCGGGGGGAGGTCCCACGTGGCTGGCGTCCATCTGTGAGCAGACCAGCTCTGGGGACCAGCTGCCCCATCAGCCAGGACAGTTCAGGCTCCACACTGATGGCCGAGTCCCCAGAAGCTACTTGGTCCTGGAGAACTAAGCAGTGAGTCCTTCTCATAGGTAAGTGCTCCCAGGGACCTCGCTGGCCTTTCCTCCCCCGAGGCCTCGCCACTGGCCCTAAGCATGAGCTGGAGTGTGGTGTGGACCAAAGCGCTGAGGGCAGTGGGTGCCTGCAGTCCAGGGCAGTCTGACAGGACCCTCCAGTCATTGAAGAGTGGACACCAAGTCCCTCCACCTGGGGTCAGGGCACAGGAAGGGTCAGCCTCAGAGACTGAGGGCCATGGGACAGGGGTTGCTGTAAGTCCTACCCAGTACAACGACAGCAAGGTGTGCTGACCCACCAGGGAAGTCTCTAAAAGCAGCCAAAGATGATAGCAGCTGGCAGTGCTGACCAAGGTGGGCAGAGACCAGCTTGGTGCAGGCAAGTCTCCCAGCCCAGTGAGCTCAGGCCAGCAGCCAACTGCTGAGGTCACCCGTGTGGGGGCTGGAGGGACCTGGGGCGCCTTACTGCGGTCCAGAACCCTCACCTGTGTTGGGGTGGGAGGAACAGACAGGCAGCTCTGGCTAGCAGGTGTGAGGCTCCTGCCACCTGGACCGTCGGGAGGCAGGCAGATGGCAGTGCCCGAACGCTCAGCCTGGCCATCTCACCATCCGACGCACTGCTGCCTCCTGCTTACCTGGCCACAGCCCTGCCCGGCAGCTCTGCGAAGCAGGCATCACCCAGGTGCTGTGAGCACACTTCGTCCCAGTCCACCTTAGGGGAGGACCCACCCAGATCCCAGGCAGGGCCTTCTCTGTAGGCGGGGCTGGACTTGGGGTCTCTGCTTTTACTGTCTGAGCATTCCCATGTAGCTCCTCGGGTGGGAAGCAGCTTTTCCAGATGTGAACCATGCACCAGGTGCTGCCCCCCTGCTAACACTCCACCTGCCAGGTGTGTGAGCACCCCCATGCACCTGAGGAAGGGAACGTCCAGGGCAAGTGGCCAAGGTCAGGCAGCCTGGACCCCACATGAGCACAAGTGACCATAAGCTCCAGGCAGCACTGGCTGGGCCAGGAGGAGACAGGCATCTGGGGAAGAACCCCAGTTAAGAAAGGCCCAACTTGACAGCCTCAAGGGCTCTTTCAGCCAGTGTTCTCAGAGCCACCAGGGAGGGAAGATTAACCAGACCGACCACTGCCAAAGCAGGATGTTGCCTTAAGAAGACGCTGATATGTGACCTGCTGCTTCAAAGTTACAACAGGTTATCAGCTCCAGGAAGGAGCTGCACCCAGGAGAGGACACACACTTGATGATTAAGAACAGGGAACAGATCTCCATAAAGGCTCTGGCCAGTTCCTTGGGACAGACACACACACAGAGGAGAAGGGAACTCTATCTCGGACACCTGGTCTGTTCCCTCAGAGAGAAACATCCCTTCTTTGTACAGGCCCCGCTGTGCACTAACACCGACAGTCACACCGACAGTCAGAGGAAGCTCTTTACACTGCACCTTAAAGCAAGGGGCTCCCTGTATCAGGCCGAAGTCTCACGTGGACACCCTGCAGGGACTCCCCACACCAGGACTAGGTGAGGCATTTTCTCTCTGCGAAGATGCTCTGTCTGGTCCTTTTACTTTATCTCTCTCTGTTGTTGGAACACCATTTATTGTCTAGACATTTCTAGTTCATAACTCTTTGTAGGAACTCAGTGAAGTTATTAGGTGTTCTCATTTGAAATGAAGCTTTACTCTCTTCACTGTACCCCCTCAGCAATGTCTCATTGCTGTGGCTTACTTCCACAGGAGGGTCTGCAGCTTCCTGACCTGACAGAGGCAGCACACCTCCGACAGACAGGAAGAAGTCAGCACCTTCCCGGGCACAGCACTCGAGAACTGAGCCGCACGCACCACCATTACGTGTCTGTTGGGAAAACAAGCCCAGAAGATCCAGTGGAAACGCTCAGAAGAAAGGCGGGAGGAGAGGGGCGCCTCCAGCACGGCCCTCAGCACCTCCAGCGCCCGGGGGAGCACCGCCCAGCACCAGCCAGGCTGGCCTGCCCACATCCAGGTGCTACGGTGGGGTCAGGCCACTGCGGTCATCGTGGCGCAATCGTGGACCACATTTCTGGGAAACATCATGAACATTCTTGTCATTTGGCAAAACAAGTCTGGATTTGGAACCTACCCTTGGAAGGCATTTAAGATGTAGCTAGAAATAGGTAAATGTGCAAGCTCCCCCCAAGCAGTGGCAGATAGTGGAGACACCTTGCCACCAAGAGGCGAGGAGCGCGGGTCTCCCCACAGGGGGACATGGAGGACGGGGGAACAGTATACACCACTGTGAACAGTGTGGGTGTGTGCTCATCCATGTAAACAAATGGGTGGGAGAAACACACGGTGCCTCAGGTGTGTCTGAACACCCTCCCATGGCCCCTGAGGAGTCTGTGGGACGAGTCTCTCCAGCCAGAGCCCAGATGACCAAGCACATGCAGGTACAAACCCAGAGTCACCAGGACACATGCACCAACAGGAAGACACCCATGCAGCTTCTAGATGGGGCTGGACACAGGGTGGGACAGACAGAGAGACGGCAGCACTCATGGTCCCTGTGCAGGAATATATGGAGGGACGGGGCACAGGCAGGCCTGCATATGCTCTCTGTGTGGACCTTGGCAAGGGGACAGGGGACATGGACAGACGATGGCCTCCATAGGGTCTCTATGTATGGCTGGGGGCAGGGGCAGGGCATAGACAGTCTCTGTGTGGGGTTGGGCTCAGGGGAGGAGCATGGACAGATAACACCCAGCTGTCTCCATAGGGGGCTGGGCATGAGGATGGGGACACAGACAGACAATGCCCCGTGGTCTCTGTGTGGATAGAGAGGGCACAGACACACGGGGGTAGACAGACAATGGACTATGGCCTCTGTGTAGACAGACAGGGGCACAGACACACGGGGGTAGACAGACAATGGCCTGTGGCCTCTGTGTAGACAGACAGAGGCACAGACACACTGAGGTAGACAGACAATGCCCCGTGGTCTCTGTGTGGATAGAGAGGGCACAGACACACGGGGGTAGACAGACAATGGACTATGGCCTCTGTAAGGAAGGACAGGGGCACAGACACACGGGGATAGACAGACAATGCCCCGTCGTCTCTGTGTGGATAGAGAGGGAAAGAGACACACTGGGGTAGACAGACAATGGCCTGTGGCCTCTGTGTAGACAGACAGGGGCACAGACACACTGAGGTAGACAATGTCCCGTGGCCTCTGTGAGGAAGGACAGGGGCACAGACATACTGGGGTAGACAATGCCCCGTGGCCTCTGTGTGAACAGACAGGGACACCGACACACTGGGGTAGACAGACAATGGACCGTGGCATCTGTGAGGACGGAGAGGGGCACAGACACACTGGGCTCTACCTTCTCGCACAGGGCCAGCACTGTCCCAGCCTGGATGATGGCCACCTGCTCGTCATTTCTCAGATTCTACAACGAAAATGGCGTTTTAGGTTGGACGCCAGAGCATGTGCAGTCAGGCACTGGACATGTGGCTCTAAGACCAGCTCAATTCAGGGGTGAATCAGAAGTGCGGGTTATACCACAGTCCCCCCACTGAGGTAGTCTGGGTCCAAAACCCACTTCTGAGGGACAAGGCCCACCCCCCACTGGGTCACAGCCAGACAAAGCATCACAGTGCTGAGGGAACTCTCCAAACAGAGAGGTCAACCGAAGAAGCCACACACAGCACAGCGGGTCAGACGACACGGAACCGGAGACAGCGCACATAGTTACCCGGTTATCACCAAGGATATCTAACTTCTTCATGAGTTCAGACACATTCAGATCCTGGAAGAAATGCCAGCACTCACTGTGGGGCCACCAGGACCGGGCCCAATGCACCTGCCCTTCAGGAGCACACCTCCTCATGGCCTGCACCTCATCTGCCCCATGAGCACACCTCATCCTCACCTGCCCCTCGGGACAATTCTCAGCCTCACTTGTCCCTCCAGAGCTCTCCTCCCCCTCACTTGCCCCTGGCCCTCAGGAGCATGCGCACCTCACCTGTCCCTGTGGAGGTCGCCTCCCCCTGCCCTGGCCCTATCTTCACCTGCCTCTCTGGAGTACACCTCATGTTCACCTGCCCCAGGGGATCACTCCTCACCCTTACCTGCCCTCCAGGACACCTCAAGCTCATCTGCCTCAGGGGATCACTCCTCACCCTCACCTGGCCCTGTGGAGCAGCACCTTCACCCCCCCTTCCTCTGCCTCAGCTATCCTCTGTACTGGAAGAGTTCATCAATGTGATGGCCAAGATCACATCAACACAAACACTGCTTCACTACCCTTCTATGCATCTACCCTGGGATTCTCAGGGAGGACGGGCCTTCAGGAGTCTAGAGGGACCCAGCACAATGCAGCCACTTTGTGGTGTAATTGTTGCTGCTCAAATTCGCAGATGAAAAGACTGACGTGCAGAGAGGACTAGAGCTAAGACTTGGGCTGGGATTTGCACTTAGGGCTGCATTTGGGGCCTCTCTGCTTTTTTCTAACACTTGGGACCTTGAGCAAATAAACAGCTAGAACTCCAAATGGGATGGAGGGGTGGGGTGGGAGTCCCTCTAAAACCAGCTCAGTCAGGTACACAGTGCAGCCCTCATGCCCAGACTGGCATCTGCCTAGGGACCCACCCCAGCACGCTACCTTCACTCCTTCCTGATGACAGAACAGCTGGAGGGCACTGCCGCTGACCTCAGGGAAGGCGGCGATACGGAGGTTAAAGGCTGGAGACCTCCGCTCTCTCTCCTGGGGAAAGACGCGGTTGAAGAACAGAACTTCATTGGCTTGCTCACCATTTGCCACTTCCCACCTTACTTAGCACAAGTCTACAGCTCCAGGTGATGAGGCGTTACTACAGAGTGCATGCCCAGGAGACGCCACGACGCTCCCACGCCTCCCACAACCTGAGTCTGAGGGAGGCTGACACCACGACACTTCCACACCTCTCATGACCTGAGCCCGTGGGAGGCTGATGCCACGACACTTCCACTCCTCCAATGATCGGAGCCTGTGGGAGGCTGACACCACACTTCCCATGACCTGAGCCTGCGGGAGGCTGACGCCACGAAGCTCCCATGCCTCCCACGACCTGAGCATGCAGGAGGCTGACGTCACGATGCTTCCACACCTCCCATGATCGGAGCCTGTGGGAGGAGGATGCCACAACGCTCCCACGCCTCCCATGACCTGAGCCACGATACTCCCACGATGTTTCCACGCCTCCCACGACCTAAACCTATGGGAGGCTGACGCCACAATGCTTCCATGCCTCCCACGACCTGAACCTCCAGGAGGCTGATGGGTAAACCTGGGATAGCTGTGCAGTAACCAAGCCATGATGGTAACAGCACAAGGCCAGAACTTCACAGCCGTGTGGCAGGCACCAAACGACCCACTGTTTTGTGGGCAGAGATGGGCCAAGGCTCCCACCAGCAAGAAGCATGGAGGACTCAGACCACATGTTCTTTTAAGATAGTCTGCCAACTCTATTTGCAATGCTTCTATGCTCACTAACTTGCCCAGGTGTGCCAGGGTTGGCAAACAGCCAAGTTCTCAACTACTGTCTGAAGGCTGGAGGATTGGAGATGTTTGGAGACACCGCAGAATAAAGGTTTCATGGTCTACTTAAAAAAAACAGTGATGAGAATGCAGGTAGGCTAGGGGCCTAACTAGGAGGGTATCTCTGCACTGCGGGACGGCCGAGTCAGAGCTGCCTGGCTAGCAACAGGCAAGTCCGTCAGGGACCACTTCACTCCTGTCTGAGACTTAGTCACACCACCTCACCCACGAAGGAAGCTCAGCATCTCCCATTTCAAAGGACGGCCGTCCAGCTGCTACAGAACTAAGTCCAAAGTGGGGCAGCTGACTGACCATACACAGCAGTGCATTTCCACGAAGGACAGAGCATCTGGTCACCGAGAGATTAAGCACAATCCTAGAAGTGCCTGTGTCCTGTGAAGACTCGACCTGACACTCCCAGAGTTGATGGAACAGCCTTGAAGGCCAGGCCAGTGAGTGAGCAGACCTTTACTGCACACCTTCAATCGCCTTCAAGTCTTTGACTCTAACTGCCCCTGGGCAGGTCACAGAGCCAGCAGGATGCTCAGACCACTCCTGCAGGGCCACCTAACCAACTGGCTGCTTTCCCTTTGCTGGCCACAGGACAACAGGGTCATGCAGGTCACAAGGTGGCCTCGGTGGGCTGGAGGAAGGTGGAGACACAGGCCAGCTAGGCTCCACCCACCTCTGGCCTGGTGGGGGACAAACTCTGGAGAGGAGGCCAACCTACACCAGGCAAGGGTAGACTCTCACAGAGGCTCTGTCCACACAGGGCCCCACCTGTACTGCCTCGTTAACCAAAGGTCTCCACATTAAAGATGACAGAATTAAAGGTGGATGGGACATAGATTTGGAAGGAACTTAGTTCAATCAGAAACAAGGTTTCTAAAGATTCTTTTCTGAAGCTGGGGTCTTGAAACTTTAAAAGTAGCCACTGGTCTCCTGTCTTGGGAACAAAACAGAGCATGAAGGAAAGCAAAGACTCAGAAGAAACTTTTCCAAAGGACTGACAGACCACGGAACCACCACAGCCTGCGTGACCAGGGACCACCAGAGGACTGACACACCACAGAACCACAGCCTGTGTGACCGGGGATGACCAGAACACTGACAGACCACTGAACCACAGCCTGGGTGACCGGGGACAACCAGGGGACTGACAGACCATGGAAACCACAGCCTGTGTGTCCTGACACCTGAGACCAGCAGAACTAGTTGGTGCAAACCCCTCAGAAAGCTGAGCTCACAGCAAAGGGCCCCAGACAGAGCCAGAGGAAGGTGTAGACAAGACTGGATAAATTCACATGGCAGAGACAGTGGACCCCTGAGCCTGACACTGTGCCTCTGTTCAACCAGGAACTGACACCATTTCCAGAGACCAGCTCGCGGCTAAGATAGGCCACAGAGTTAACAAAGACACCAGACAGAAACTGAGTTTCCGAACACAAGATCAGAAAGACAACTTTTGCCCAGAAGTGACCATAGGAGACAACTAGGGGTAGAAGAGCTATATAAGAGGTTTTGGGGACCCCCAACTAGCAGTAGTGATAGTGCTGCACACTGTGGGGAACACAGCCAATTCATGGAACACCAGGCACAAACTCCCCAACAGGAAGTGAAGTAACTTCGTGGACCTTCCTCAGAGGAGAAAGAGAGACTCTAGCTCCAACTAGGACAGGAACCAGCACTGGAGCAAGGTAACACGGCTCTGATGGAGCATGGCGATCCCTCCAGTGATGGGAGACCCTCCCCCAGAGAACGAAGAGTTCTGGCAGCATCAATAAAACCCACAGTTCCCCCTCACATGAGAGGTCCTGAGGAGGGGTCAGGCCATGGCCCAGCCATAGACAATGCAGGAGGTGCCGTCTCAGGTCAGGTGTAAACTGTCTTACGTGAAGCGGGCAGGGGAGGAAAGCAGGGACTGCAAACTGCAAAGGTGGGGTTCTGCTCCCAGGGTTCTGAGCATGCAGGTCTCAGCCGAAAAAGAGCAGAGCTGCATCTACAGGGGCCATGAAAGCTAGCCACAAGCTGAGCAAAGTGCTGAATGGTGTGACACTTAAACAGGAAAGAAATGGTAACAAAGTAACATGGCAATGTGACACCAGCCATATACTGCAGTGGAGGTGGAAAGCTGCCCACCCTGCTGCCACGGACGCAGCTGCCCCAGACACGGCTGCCCTGGACACAGCTGCCCACCTGCGCAGCACCATCTCCATCCACACAGACAGCTCTCAGGGGACAGAGGACTATTCTGTCCAACCTCACGGCGAGGCCACACAGCCTGCTTTTCCTGTCTGCCTGTCTGGACTCGCCTGTGCTGACCTCGGAGGCAAGGGCCACCCCAGCACTGCCACGTTATGAGCCAGGCTGGCCTGGCACCTCTCCTGTCTCAAGGCGGCGCTGCGGTCAGGCTGAGGGGTGTGTTATGACGTGTACAGTGCTCCTGGCACACTTGGCAGACGCACCGGGAACTACACATGCAGGAGAGAAGTAGTTATGGGAATGAACACAAAGAAAAAAGGCAAAACATTGCAAAAACAAATCATTTTATTAAGTGCAAAACAAGCTGTCGGCAATAAATATATGAGCTCTGGTTCACGTCCACGGACTCGGGCGAGCGTTTCCTCCGAAGGTTTTAAGGCAGTGGAATTACTCTGAACACACAAGTTTAAAAGGAGAAACGAACGCGTCCCTTCACACATGCCTGGGCGCACGGGCGTCACATGAATTTCAGTTTGGGTTCAAAGAGAATGTCGGCCCCATTGGGGAGCTTACAACAGAGAGAGTCTCTTACTTCCAGCTCCAGCACGCGGAACTCGAGCAGCTCGTTCTGGTCCTTGGCGTCCTGCATCTCATCCTTCAGATGGCTCTCCTCCACCTCCAGCCTGTAGATCTAGAGCAAAGACAGCTCTGGTCAGCAGATGGCCATCTGGAGGGTGGACAGAGGATATGGGACGAGTCATTGGGCGATGACCTGTTGCCCCAAGCCTGGAGGGTGGGACAGTGAGGCCAGAGCTGGGCATCCTGGTCTGCTGTCGATCCCTCCTCAGGCCAGTCCAGCAGGCTCTCATTGTGCAGCCTCATGTCCACGTTCTCTCCTTCCCAAAGTACCCCTAGCCATGTAGACGGGTCCTGGGCCTGGACACGGAGACCCCAGAGAGTCCTTGAGTCCTCCCTGCCCAGCCTCTGTGATGATGTTTACAGCGCTGATTTAGTCCAGTGGGGGGGGGGGGGTCTGTAAGCTCTGACCTGTGATCCACCTGGAAGAGGGGGGAGGGTCCCAGACCTCAGGATGGGGGACACAGAGGACAGTTTGCTGTGTCACCACAGCAGGGGAGGGCTCCTGGAATTGAGCAGGTGGGGCAGTGACTGTCCCGACCCCACATCTAGCATGTGCTAAGGGCACGGCGGTGGGGGCTCAGCAGTTAGTGCCGACAGGGGCCAGATGCCCTCCTAGAGCCTCAGGGTCAGTGAAGCTGGACCTCTATTTTTGACAAGCAGAACCCCAACCTGAGTAAAGCCACCCCAGCTCCACTTTGGGGTGCAGACAGCAGGTGAGGTGCTTCTGTGGGATGTACTGAAGAAAGAGCTAAAGGGCCAGTAAGAGGACTGGGGGTTGTGGGGCCAGCAGGCGTGAACACAGGAGGGCAGGGGTATTCACAGGGTGGTTGTTGTTGGGTGCCACTACTGAAGACTTCACAGGGTAGGAGACCTTAAAAACCATATGGGGCTACAAATACATTACCAGCAAACATACTGGAAAATCTTCAGATGAGAAAAAAGAGCAAGGGGCTGCCTGTGGGACACAACCACAGGTCCTTGGGCTGACTGGCATCTCACTTACGCTCTACTGAAAGAGCCACAGGTCCTTGGCTGACCAGTCTCTCACACTGCCTACTCCCCTGAGGACAGAGTGGCCCTGCGCTGACCAGTCCTCAGACACTATCTACTTCATCAGGGACGGAGAGGCTCTGGCCTGACCAGCCTCTCACTCCCTAGTCCACCAGGGACAGAGGACTCAGGGCCCCCAAACACACAGAGTCTGACTATGACACTACCTGCAGGGGGCCGGAAAGGCTCTGTCCACTCTGGTTTTTCTGAGGACAGAGAGGACCATGGCTGAGATCACAAGGCCTGTCGCCCCATGAATGCTCAGTGGGCACAAGAGGCCAAGCCCTATCTTGGGGGATGTGAGGGGAGTGGGCAGTGTCCAGCGGGGCCCGGACTGTGGAGAGGGTGGTTATGTCCAGCTGGGCGCTGATGGAGGCCCATCTTGGGGATGTGAGGGGTGTGAGCAGTATGTTCAGCTGGGCCTGACTTGAGCCTTATCTTAGGGATGTGACCATGGGAGTGGCAAGTATGTCCAGCTAGACCTTGCCTGGGTCCCATCTCGGGTATGTGAGGGGAGTGGGCAGTATTTCCAACTGGGCCTTACCTCAGGGCATGTGAGGGGAGTAAGTAATGTGTCTGGCTGGGCTCTACCTGGGCCCCATCTCGGGGATGGGAGGGGAGTGAATGGTGTGTCCAACTGGTCCCACCTCAGGGCATGTGAGGGGGAGTGGGTGGTGAATCCACCTGGGCCCTCCCTGAGGTTCTGGGCCTATTCCCTGTGGGTGGTGTGTCTAGCTGGGTCTTCCCAGGGGTGCTAGGCCTGGCCACTGTGGGTGGTGTGTCCAGCTGGGCTCTGCCTGGGGTGCTGGAGCCTGGACCCTATCTCGGGATGTAGGTGGTGTGTCCAGCTGGGTCCTTCCTGGGGTGTTGGGCCTGGCCCTCTATGAGTGGTGTGTCCGGCTGGGCCCTCCCTGGGATGCTGGGCCCTGCCCTCTGAGTGGGGTGTCCAGCTGGGCTCCCGCTGGGCCTGGCCCTCTGTGTGGGGTGGTGCTGTCTTCACATACCTTTTCCAGCAAGTCCTGGTTTGTTCTAATGAGCAGCTGCTTTTCTTCAACCCACTTGGAATCCTGAGGAAAACACTCAACATGTTCACGCTGTTGACACAGCAGCCCAACAGCCAAGTGCAGGGCAGGGTCACGGCCACGATGCTCATGATGGCCACCACTCTGAGGAACTTCCAACCTCAAAGATGGGACCGGCCAACAGCTCCCCAGTACCCCAGAACTGTACAAAGCAGAGATGCGGCCCCCTGCTTCCTGGTGGGCACCCTGACACCCCGACAGGGAGCCCTGCTTCTACCCTGGGGTACACAGTCAACTCTCAAGGGCCACCCTGCCCTGTCTGTGCCCTTTGTCACCCAGGTGAGTTCTGGGGCTCAAACCCATGGCCTGGAGCACAGAGAGCTCAGGGAGGGAATCAGAGAGGGAAGACCCTTCCCAGGCATCTCCTCCAAGCTCTCAGCCTCCCCTTGGCCATGAAAGTGGGCTTCAGAACTGGATATCCCTGCAGCCCTGGCCAGCAAACTAAGAGCACCCAGCTCCCATTGCCTCACACAGCCAGGCTTTGGGGTAAGACTCCACGCAGGCAACACAGGGTCCTAAGGAGACAAACCTCTGCTGAGTGGTGGCCAGGCACTAGGTCTAGCGTGGGCGGCAAACATGAGGTGATACAGAGGTGGTCACAGTCCAAAAAGCGTGATCCAACAGAATGGAAAATTACCAAGCAATAGAGTTACTATTACATGCAAGCAAAGTCTTGCTGGAGATTATAAAAAACAGCCAGAACACCACATCAACAGAGAACTGACAGATGTGCAAGTGGGGTTTAGAAGAGGCTGTGGCACCAGGGATAACACTGCTGATGTCAGATGGATCTTGGCAAAAAGCAGGGAATACCAGCGAAATGTCCATTTGTGTTTTATTGACTATGCAAAGGCATTTGACTGTGTGTATCACAATAAATTATGGTTAATATTGAGAAAAACGGAATCCCAGAACATTTACTTGTGCTCACATGAAACCTGTACTTAGACCAAGAAGCTATTGGACAAACAGAGCAAGAGAATACCACACGGTTTAAAATTAAGAAAGGTGTGCCTCAGGGTTGTCTATTCTCACCATACCTATTCAGTCTGCATGGTGAGGAAATAAATGGAGAAGCCGGACTTCATAATGAAGAATATGGCATCAGGATTGGAAGGAGTATCATCGACAACTTGTGCTGTGCAGATGACATAACCTTGCTCACTAAAAGTGAAGAGGACTTAAAACACTTGTTATAGAAAATAAAAGACTACAGTATCCAATATGTATTACATCTCAACTTCAAAAAGCCAAAATTCCTTATCACTGGGCCAATAGGCAACATCATGATAGACTGCAGGGGTTGGGGGGTAGACTAAAACTGTCCATTATTTCATCTTGGATCCACAATAAATACCCTTGGTACCAGCAGTCAAGAAATTAAAAGATGTGTGGCATTGGGAAAAATCTTCTAGCAAGGACTTCTTCTAAAGTTCTGAAGAGCAATGATTTAAGCTTAAAGAGTAAGGTGTGCCTGATCCAAGCCATGGTCTTTTCAATTACTTGCTACGCATAGGAAAGTTGGACAGTAACTAAGGATGACAGAAGATGAGTCAATGCCTTTGCGCTGTGGTGTTGGAGAAGAGCACTGAATATCTATCTCATAGGTTGCTTAAAGAACAAACATCTGTCTTAGGAAAAGTGCAACCAGGTGCTCCTTGGAGGCAAGAATGGGAAAGCTTCATCTCAGATACTTTGGGCATGATGTTAGGAGGGGCCAGTAATTGGAAAAGACATCGTTGCTGGGAAAGGTGGAGGGTAAGAGAAAGAGGAAAAATATACACACTTAGGCTATAACTATCTAATTGTAATGGAATTCTAGCCTAGCTGCCTATATGCTAGTCCACACGTGTATATGCTTTTGTTCTATGAAGTATATATACTTGAATTCCAAGAAGAATGTGGCATAAGTGTCAGAGGAAGACTCATCAATAACCTGTGTCATGCAGATGGCAAGACCTTGCTTGCTCGAAGTGAGGAAAAGTTGAAGCACTTGCGGTAGAAGATCAAAGACTACAGCCTTCAATACGGATTGCATCTCAACATCTAGAAGACAAAAATCCTCACCAGTGGATCAATAGGCAGAATCATGGTAAATGGAAAAAAAGACTGAAATTGTCAGTTATTTCATCTTACTCAGATCCATAATCAACACCCTTGCTACCACCAGCAGTCAGGAGGTCAGGAGACATATTGCACGGGGCAAGTCTGCTGTCAGGGACCTCTCCAAATTACTAAAGAATATTGATGTCCATTTGATGACTAAGATGTGTGATTCAGATCATTGTCTTTTCAGTCGCTTGCTATGCATCTGAGAGTTGGACAATGAATAAAGATGACAGTTTTGAAGCCATCAATGAGTAATTGATGCCTTGAGCTGTGGTGTTGGGAGTACTGAAAACCCCACAGACTGCCAAAAGAGCGAACAGATGAGTCTTGGCAAAAGTGCAGCCAGAGTTCTCACAGGAGACAAGGATGACAAAGCTTCATCTCACATACTTAGGGCATGTTGCTAGGAAGAGCTATTCCTTGGAGATGAACATCATTTTTGGAAAGGTGGAGGGTCAACGAAAGAGAAGAAGACCCCACTGAGATGACCTGCCGTGGCGACTACAGCAATGAGCTCAGTGTGTCAGAGATGGTGAGGACAGGACTGGGTCTAGGTCTGTGGTTCAGAGGGTCACTAGGAGTCGGAGACAGCACCTAACAACAGTCCATCCATGACACACCAGGGTCTCTCCAGCCCAAGCAGAGATAGAAATGTACCCGCAAAAGCCTATGCAGCATCCTAGCCCCAGTATCTGCGACCGTAACCTCATCTGGAAAGAGATTTGGAGGTGCTACCAGTTTGGTCAACATGAGGTCCCACAGGAGCAGGGACAGTCCTGACAGTACAGGTCCACTTCCTTATAGAGAGAGGGGGCGTGGCGAGAGCACGGAGGAGGGGCTGTACCCACCAAGGAGCGCCTCCCTCCAAGGCAGCCTGTGGGATGACGCTATGGATGCCCCCAGGAAAGGCCCCCAAGACAGTATGTGGATGACCCTGTGGATCCCCCTGGACAGGACCCCAAGATGGCCTATGGGATGACCCTGTGGATGCCCCCCCCAGAAGAGCCTCCTAAGACAGCCCCAAGATGACCTGTGAGATTCCCCCCAGGATGACCCCAAATGTGGCCCCCAGGACAATTCCCAATACTGCCCCTCAAATGATCCCCTACAATGACCCTCCAACGTGGCCACCAGGATAGCCCTCAAGGCAGCATGTGGGACAGCCCCCAAGACTCCTTCTGGAATCACCCCTCAGGATTATCCCCTCAACATGGACCCCCAATGGCCCCCAAGGATGCTTCCCCAAGACGGTCCCAAGAACAACCCCCAAGATGGCCTCCAGGATGACCCCTGAACAGGGGCCCCATGGACAGCCTCTGGGACAGCCTCCTGGATGATGCCTCAGGAGGTCCCCTAGGACATCTCCTAAGGACAGTGGCCAAGACAGCTAGGCCCTGAGACCTCCAGGGACACCCCAAGAGGCAGGGCAGCTTCTCTTGTTAACTTGAAAATGCCCCACCATGGGGCACACAGGCCCCCTTGCTCACCTGTCCCTTCTCCACAAGTAACTTCTCCAAGTCCTCGATTTTGGCCTGGCACCTTAGCAGGTCAGCTTGAAGTTGTTCCCGGGTCTGCAACAGAAGAGACTAGAGAGTCAGTGGATTCTCTTGGACCAAGGGCAGGAAGATGGTAAGGAAAGACACAAGCAGGTACATCTAAGACCAGGGCAGAGACCATGGGTATATGCATACCAGCCCACCTGTCACCCTCTGTATTCCAGACCCGTGCGTATACAGTCCACCTATCACACTGTGTGCACGCAGCCCACCTGTCACTCTTTGTGTCCCAGAGCCCGTGTGCACACAGTCCACCTGTCATGCTGTGTGTTCCAGAGCCCATGTACACACAGCCCACCTGTCATGCTGTGTGTCCCAGAGCCTGTGTACACACAGTCCACCTGTCACCCAGTGTGTTCCAGAGCCCATGGGCACACAGCCCACTTGTCACCCATGTCCGCACAGCCCACCTGTCACCCTGTGTGTTCCCAAAGTCCATGTACACACAGCCCGCCTGTCACCCTACATGTTCCCAGAGTCCATGTGCACACAGCCCACCTGTCACCCTGTGGGTTCCCAGAGCCCATGTGCACACAGCCTGCCTGTCACCCATGTCCACAGAGCCCACCTGTCACCTGTGTGCACACAGACTGCCTGTCAACCTGTGTGTTCCCAGAGCCCATATGCACACAGCCCACCTGTCATCCTGTGTGTTCCCAGAGCCGTGGGCACAACAGTCCCCTTGTGCCCTGTTGGTTTCTCTACCACTGACAGATATAAACATTTTTAAGAACCTGAAAGTCTTCAGTAGTCTCGGTTCTGACTCTCTTGCTTTTGGACAAAGACACAGAGGAGAGATGAGTCTCTTCAAGGGGGTGACTGAGGGCTGATGCCAACTGAGCCTCAGACTGATTTCACCAAAGTGTGAATTTTAAAGAAATCCTTGGAGGCAAGGATTCTGGGGCTTCGTCTGACATACTTTGGACATGTTGTAAGGAGAGACAAGTCCTTGGAGAGGGACATCATGCTTGGTAGGGTAGAGGGACAGCGCAGGAGGGGAAGACCCTCTATGAGGTGGATTGATTCAGTGACTGGGGTTATTGGGATGGGAGTGTCAGAGACAGTGCGATTAGCACAGGACAGAGCAGGGTTTAGGGCTGTTGTACACAGGGTCGCTATGAGTAGCAAACGACTCGACGGCACATAACAACAACAAATAACACATACTTGCCTTAGAAAAAATAAGAAATAAAAAAGGGGGGGTGAGTGAGGCAGGAACAGGACACAGGTCTCAACTTGGCCATCAGCCCTGGGCAGCAGTACCCTTCAGCAGTCAGGGCCTCACCCAAGGCTGTATGCCAGGAGGGCTGCAGGGCAGCAGTGCAAAAACTGGGCAAGTGGGCAACAGCAAACAGTGGGGACTGTGGTTCCCTGGAGGCCATGTCCATCTCAGCCAACATCATAGGAAGCTGTGCCCACAGCACCTCCAGGAACCCAAGTTGTTAAGCGAAATCATTAGACTTCCAGTTGTTGTCTATTATATGAAACTGAAACCAACACAAAACAAGCAAAAGGACTCTAGAGCCCAAGTAGAGCCCTAATCCTGCAGCCAGCTCTCCGGAAGCTTCCCTCAGAGCAGGGCGCCCAGAGCTGCTGGAAGCTCGAGGGGAGGAGTTGGGGGAAGAGGTGAGTTGCTCCAGGGAGAAGGACAGCCTGCACTGGCAGCACAGCTGGACTTGGAGCTGCAGGGGAGGGAGGAAGGGACCCCAGGAGGAGGTGCATCTAACCTAGCAGTACTGGGCGGGATAGTGATGCCATCAGCTCATCGGACCTCTGAAGCCTGCAGACAGCACATATGGTTTTGTTAAACGTCCACACCACAGCCACTTCTACCAGGGTCCATGGCCTCCATTCCTGCCAGTGAGAGCTGGAGCAGCACCAGATGGATGCCTGGGTCTGAGGCCCTTCCTCCTGCCAAGCCCCAGGTACACACTTCAGGATTCAGGCCCCTGTCAACATCCCCATGCCCGGACTCAGCCCTCTGCCTGCCTCTACACACCCTCTACCCCGACTCAGCCCTCTGCCTACCCAAATCTCCTACCCCCAGCCCTCTGTCCACCTCTGCATACCCTCTACCCCTACTCAGCCCTCTGCCTACCTCTACACACCCTCTACCCCTACTCAGCCCTTTGCCTCTCCAGATCTTCCTCCACCCAGCCTCTTGCCCACCTCCCCATACCTCCACCCAACACTGTTTCCACCTGCATCTCCCCACACCCAGCCCCCTGTCCAACCTGAAGTGCCCTCACCTAACCCTCTGCCTACCCAGATCTCCCCTGACCCAGCCACCTGCCTACATCCATGTGTCCCCACCAAGTCCTCTGTTCACTCACATCTCCTCCCACCATCCCCTTGCCCGACCCCATATCCTCCACCCAGCCCCCTGCATGGTTCCTGGCCCTTAAACCCTTGCCTACCCTCACATCCCCTACCAGCCCCCTGTATGGTCCCTAGGCTCCCCCTGGTCCCTAAAACCTTGTCCATCCCCACATCTTCCACCCAGCTCTCCATATGGTCTCCAGAATCCCCCTAGTACCAGACCTGGCCCCAGCACCATCTGCCCCCACTTCATGCTTACCCGGGCCTCTCTCTCTGCATCCAATGTCCCTCCCACCTGTTCCTGGAGCAAGGCGTAGGCTCGCTGTAGGGCCTGGTACTCCCTCGTCAGCTGGCAGAACCGCAGGTCAGACTCCTCCCTGGTTGTAGCCTGGATATGAGGGCAAGAGGGGTGTGTGATGTGGTGTGGTACAGCATGATGTAGCAAGATTTTGTGTGTGTGTGATGCAGAACAGTGTAATGTGGTGTGGTACAACATGATGTGATGTGACGTGGTACACGATGTCACATGCATGTAACATGGTATAACAATGATGTGATGTCACTTGGACAGCATGATGCCACATGGCATGTGACCTGGTACAGCATGATATCGCATGCATGTGACATGGTACAGCATGGTATGATGTGACATGGTAAAGTATGATGCCACATGGTACAGATGATGCCACACGGCATGTGACCTGGTACAGCATGATGTCACATACATTTAATGTGGTGCAGCATAATGTGGTGTGTTGTACTGCATGATGTCACATGGCATGCGATGTGGTATAACATGAGGCCACACCACATGTAATGTGGCATTGCATAATGTGATGTGACATGGTATAGCATGATGTCACATGGCATGTCACAGGGTGTGAAGTGATATCATGTGATCTGATGTCATTGCATCTAATGCAGTGGACAGGAGCTGGTCTGGATATCGTCAGCTCCAGACCCCATTCTTGGATGACAGTTACTGACAGTGGCCATGGGAGCAAAGGGCTGTGGGTCAGAAAGGTGACCCCATAACTTGTGGAGCTCCCAGAGAGAACAGGGGATGTGGCAGTACCATCCACAGCGTGGACCACAAGGGCTCTGCTCCCACCCGGGGCATCTCCAGAGCAGTGACCACTGGCTGTGTAGACGTCAACACAATAGCTCACAGAGAACCAAGCAGGTTCCACCCCAGGACCCAGATGGCAGATCTGAGCCATCATGACAGGACACGGCAGCCTGGCTGCACACTTCCATGGACACACATGCTACGGGCTGAAGGAACAACTGCGAAGCATCTGGATGTAAGCTGAGAACTGAGGTGCTACAGCTGTCGTCAAGGCAGGAACAAAGCCCGATGCCCAGGGCCCCACCCCTGACTATGAGGTGCTTCCACCCCACCTTGGCCCTGTGAAGTCAGGGCTGGCAAGCAGAGCTGGTAGGAGCTCCCACTGTCCACTGCCTTCCTCTGTCAAGGGGATCAGAGACCTCTTAGGTTTGGATCCAGGGTACATAGCACAGAGGAGAGGGCACCTGGGGATTCCTTGGTGGGGAGCCGGCATGGAGTCATCTAGAATGGCCTTCTGGAAAGACTGCTAAGGGGGCAGATCAGCAGGGGCCGTGGGAGGAGACAGGGCAGAGAGCTTGGCCAGCTGACGTGGCAGCACACGCAGCCCAGCCTGGGTGAGGCCTGTAGAGCACACCTCTGGCCCGAGGGTCCCAGGTCCCAAGGCCCTGGTAAGGGCTTCGGCCTGGGGCAGTTTACCTCGTCCACATCTTCTTCTGGTGTGGCTGGTGTCCTGTCTGTCCTGTCCGTGTTGTAGGACGTCTCTGATAACGTTTCTGAGTCCACAGACTCCTCATCAAATCCAAAAAATGTCTCCACAACATGCTTCTGTAAGAGTCAAGTACATGTCATCAGGAGGGGCCGGGGAGAGGGGACCCTGGCATGAGTGTGGGGTGGGGGTACACACCATCAGGAGGGACTGGGAAGAAGGGAGCCCAGCACCATTGTGAAGATCAGGTACAAACCATCAGAAGGGACTGGGGAGAGGGGACCCCGGAACTATCATGGGGTGGGGGTACAAATCATCAAGAGGAAGCAGGGAGAGGGGACGGACCCTGGCACCATTGTGGGGTGGGGATACATATCATCAGGAGGGATGAGAGGAGAGGCCACCCTGGCTACTTTCATGGGTCAGAGGTCATATACCATCAGAAGGGACCAGGGAAGATGGGACTAAGGGAGAGGGGACAATGAGAGAGGGAAATCTGGCCAGCATCACAGGGTGGGGGGTGAGGGGTGGGCACCATCAGCAGAGGAGGGGGGAGCCTGGCCATCACTGTGGGGTGAGGGGTGGACACCATCAGCAGAGGAGG